TTCACTGTAGTATTATATTTATAATATATTAATTATTAATATTTAGAGTATTTCACTATAGTTATATATTTAGAATTTTGAATTAGTAGCGTAATGCACATTTTATTACTCTCATCAGATATTAAATGTTTGGGCTGTGTGTTTACATTGTTTTGGTTGGTTGTCTGTGATTGGAAATGACATCAGTTTGCAAGAAAAGAAAACCTGAAGGATAACAAAATTCTGCTTCAAAATATCTCCATTTAGAGATGTTCAGAGCATCGCACCTGTCCTGCAATGGAGGAATGTGGGAGTTGGTGATGGTTGTTATTTAGTAACTGAAGCTGAAGCTATTATTTTTTTCCCCCAAGAAGCAGAGCTTCTGTAGTATGTGCTGTCATCTACTGAGTTACTCTCACGAGCAGAGAAATTAAATTTGAGCGGGTCTGCTTTTCCTTAAAACATCAGACTATTGCGTATGGACGTTGTACATTAACCAAATTTGTTTATGCAACAAGGAGATTATGTCATGTCCTCTCAGCTCTGAGGCATTGCCCTGCAAAGCAATTTTTATGCATTCTGTAAATGATTTCCTGACTCTTATGGTAGTGTGCCTACATTCCTGACCTCTGAACAAAATGCCTCGGTGGTGTGTGGGGCATACTGTGAGCATGGAAAGCGGCTCAAAATCTGCTGAGCTTTCCACTGCTGAAATTCTAGTTACAGAGTCTGTTTTAAACTCAACATTTTATAACAAGTTGAAGCAGGTTTATTAAGTTTGCTGTACTGAGACAAAGGTATCATGTGTTTAATCTGTGATTCCAATGAGACTGTCTGAAGCGTGGCGTACCCTTTCTCCTGTTCTTGCCAGCTGTGGGAATGCATTAGATGCAGAACACCTTTGTGTGCCAGGCTCAGGGCAGGATCAAATTTGGAGCTGAGTAACAGGGAAATGAAATAGTTCGTGCAGGTGGGCAAAGAGCAGATCGTGTAACCCTTGTTGAGGAAGTATCTGTATCAGCTTAATGGAACTGCTTGGGTGTGTGTTAGTTAGGCTTTCCTATCTTAAGAGGACTTGTTAAATACACAGCAGCTCATCCAGTGTGAATTTGCAGTTACAGGTAAAATGCAAGACTTGGGATGGGGCTGTGCCTAGTGGGGTCAAAAGTATCCTGATAGATTTTTATGAGGGGAGACTGGTGTAAACTAGCCTAAACCAAGAAGAATCTTGACCTGAGTTTTGTAGTGTGACCTCGTCTCAGGATAAACTGTGTTTCACTCCTGCAACGTTAGCAGGTGTGGGCTGTATTATGTTCTTGGTGTGTGGAAGTGCTTTGGTAGGAATCTCGCTCACAGGATTCAGGCCCCACATCTTGCTCTTACTGCTGTCTGTTGTTGCACTTAATTTTACAGCAAGCAAAGCTTCCCACCTGAGTAATGAATAATAAAGATGAAACTCTCACTTCAGGAGGTAATGCAAGGAAAGTACTTGAATTATTTAGTCAGCCTAGAACAAATACCAATTTCAAAGCAAATAATTTTGCTGAAGATTTGATTCAGAGCTATATATAACCATTGTCCTAGAGTATGATGCATTTTCTGTTTTATAACTTTATGCATGACTGTTTCAGTTTGATGTGCTTCCTGCCTGCAGTTCTCTACCCTTAGTGTTGGTAATACTGCGTGCTGCCAAAACATGCAGCATACTGCACTGCTGTAGCACTGCTTGAAATCCTAATGATGATGCAGGGAGAGAGGAATGAGGACGGGGTTGTGCTGCACGTTGCAGGTTGCAGTTACAGACTAAGCCGTGTTACTTCTTGTACCTTTCAACGTATGTCTTCTGGTGGATAATCTTTCCTTGTGTCTCCCCAGAAGGGCAGGTGCTTCCATGTTGTAAGCACTGGGGAATTGACTCTCAGCCTGGAGCTGGGGTACTAATTATTTTTCTCACTGTAGTCTTTGACCCTTTGAGACCGACTCCTTTTGAGGTGTCTTGTAATTCAGCTGCCTGTCACTGGATCAGACACAGTAATCACTGTGTGAAAGCCTGGGCTGTCTGTGCCGTCATTTCTTTAATGGGCAGATTTCACCACTGAGGCAGAAGTGGTCATGCACCATCTGCAGGGCCCAAAGTCTCTGAAGAACAACCAACTCCAGTCTGACTTAAAAGGACGGTGGTTCTTTTTATGTCACCAGCATCATCCAACACCCTGAGTCCCAAGGCAGCCATGTGAGACTGGCTATCTTCCGACAACAGCAGAGGTTTCTTTCCAGAGGTTATTCTTTCCAGAATTGACTGCCTGGTGATGTCCAGGTCTTTCTTTTAGTATGTCTTCTTTTTCTTTAACTAATTAGGCAAATCAAAGAAACGTCCCTGTCGTGCGTGTTCTGAAGCACACATTAGCATTATCTCCTTATCCTAGTATAAGAGGTTTCAAAATAAAAAGCTCTTTATTCCCCCGTTGATAAGATGCAGAGTATAACTGCCACAAGCATTATATGCTGCCTGACTATTGACTATGTATTCAGTGTGAAATTTTTTTGTTAGTGCTTTAGTTTAGTAATGCTTCTGTCCACATTCTTCATCAAGCTGTAAAATGCCTTTTCTGTAAAGCTTCCATCTTGTATTGATTCTAGTCTGCTGTAATTCAAATGAAACTTCCTTTACCTTAAAGGCCAAGGATGGAGAGCAGGTAAGCAAGAAGTGCGTTCTGAGCCAGAACTTGATATTCTGTTTGGCCTCATCTTCTAGCAGGATGGTGAAATATTTAAAGAGCAGTGCAGGAGATGGTGGTCAGAATAATCGATGGTCAGAACAATGTGTTGGAGAAAAGTTTAGTTAAAGCAGGTAGGATAAATAGTGATAGAGAAGCATTAATATCAGCACAGCAGCTAACTGATTATCAAAGAGGTCTGTACACTGCGAATACCGTAATGCTAATGATGGATTCTGTTTAAAACAAAGAAAATTGCCTTGGAACTCAGCTTTCAATCAGAATTCAGATTTGAAGATATACAACCAGATTGATTGCCATTCACGTTGAACTCACTCACTGTGCAACCAATATGGGAGAAGGGTAACTGATCCCTACTTTGTAAATTAAGAAACCCTACTGTAGGAAATCGTCTTTCACCTGTCCTTGTTCTCCTGGTTCTTCAGAAGGTCTTGCTGGAAGACCAGGTAATTCTACCTGCTCTGTAGAAGCCAAAAAGATATCATGTTTGTGCAAAATTCTTCATTCACAAACCTCAGGTGTTGGGTTTCGGCCATCAAGGACCATTAGCTAACAAGATTTGCTGTGCAGCACCTTGGCTCTCAGAGCTCTTAGGAAAGCCTATAGAAGCTGTTCAGTTGTTCAGCAGAATTTTTCACACTCCTTCTGGAACTGTGAGATTCAGGTGTGCCGTGCTCACCATCACAGGGATGATTTCAGGCAGTTTAAGAATTGCCCTCCAAAACTTTCCCTTTCTTCAGTTAGCTAATTCAGTATTAAAAAAAGTCTTCACTTTTCTGCTTTTCATTTGTATTGTCATCTGTGTTCGTCTGAGTGACCAGAAGGTCTGTGACTGTCTGGTATATCAGAGCTGTCTGGTACATGGATAAAAAATAGTTTCAAAGTTGATGAAATAACAGAGGCGTATCTCCTTAGGGCAGAGCAGGGGACACTGTATGTTCCTTTTACAGCTCCTAGCTTACTGTGCATAGCTCAGGGCACTTGATAATTTTGCACTTCATGGTGTTCATGAGCCTCATAGAGGAATACAGGTAAAAAGACTGCTCTTGGAGTAGAGCTTTCCTTAGTTAGCCCTCTTATGCAGAGAAAATAGGATTGTAATTCATGCCAGCAACTTAGATTCTCAAGAAGCAAAAAGAGAAAGCTGCTGAAATTGTTCTGAAGTTACATTGTTGAAATGTTTCCTTTGTAGAATAGAGGAATACCTGTTTCTTGAGGATTAAGGAAAGGTGAAGAAAAGCTGTGCTAGGTCTCACGTCTGAGACCTGTTAGCCCTATCCTCAACCATTCCCCCAACAGCACCGGCGCAGAAAGTCAGCAAAAACAAAACCCCCAGAAAGGGAAGCTGCTGTGCACCTGCTGCCCTGCTGTCCAGCATCTCTCTTTTAGCAGAGTTGTTACTGCTTCGACTGAGAGAGGAATTCTGTGCAGCCAGAATGAAGTTTTAGGTCTCGGGGTTTTTTGTTGTTGTTGTTTTGTTTTCAGATGAAAAGTGATGTTTTGGCTTTTAAGATAATACGTGTTTTTGTTTATTTTTTTGGCTTTGAAGGAAGGAGTGTGCTGGGAATCAGCTCTTGCAATATGTTTCATAAATATCTGAGGTATCTAGCATTTGAAAATCAACTCTCTGATTTTACCAAGGGGTGTTTAAGGAAAGGGAAACCTGCATCATACTGATTCCTATCAATAGTGTGGAAAGTTGGGAGGTCAAGTCTGCAGGGCATGTGCAGGGTTCAGCTGAAACAGAAATAACCATGCAGCAATGAAACCGCAGATGCATCTCCTCAGCATGGGCCTGGATAGTGTTGGTTTTAGACATGGTTTTAAGTCCAGGTTTAAGCAGCCAAAGTGCATACTTTTAAAAATCTGATTTTGCTCAGAAGTTGATGAAATTATTTCACCAAAAGCTTTTACAAGTGTGGACATCACCCAGTGCTTTCCTTCCGGATTTTGTCTGGAGCAGTTCCTCAGCTGGAGTTCCTGAGCTGCTGTACTTTACCAGAATCTGTGGGAGGCTCATGTTGAGAGCAGGAGTAACGTTTTTCATATTACGTGTTGTGTAGACATGAAGGGGGAAAGTGTGGTGCTGCTGAAGCTGCTGTAGTTAGCATGTCACTGCAGTGCTGCCTGTGCCTACTGGTGAGCACCGTGCTTTTCTCATAAAGCAAGGAAAGCTTAGCCCATCTGTCACTGGTGATCAATGCATTTGCTCTTGAAGTTGCTTGTGGAGGATTTTTCTGAAACAAATCACAAGAAAAAAAAAACAACCCAACAGATAATCAATAATATTTTGTTCGTAGCACTTTAATTTTAAAGATCATGAATAGACCAATTTCTGCCTGTGAAGGCATCATTTTGTCCACGCAACATAAAATTACTTTCAAATGAACAACTTGATTCAGTGATATCCCATCAAAAATGTAATCAAGTATAAGGACCATTTGTATCTCACTGCTATAGTAATATGATTTTGGTATCCGTTCTGCATAGTTTGAAGTTTTCTTCTCTCTCTGAATCAATGGGTAGTGTACAAACAATGTGGAGATATTAACCAGATCTTTGCAAACTGACCAGGTACCAGATCCATGGGCCAGTGGAGCTGCCTGAGCGTGGAGCTAGGCTTGTGAAGAAAGTTGTGCTGAGTGTAATTTGTGAATTATCTGGAATCATACATGCTTGTCTACTTGATGAATGGTATTTGTGATTGCATGGTAACAGAGTGATGCATGAAACTGATTGCATCCTTGTGAATAACTGATCCAGCAGACCTTGCTCAGGCAGAACGAGTGAAACTGGAAAATGGGCGTTGAGCTGCTTAGGGCTGGGGGTGGAAAAGGAGCACTTGCTGGCAGCCTCACAGTGTGGAAAGTCTGACAGCTGCAATCATTTTACATCTCTGATTACATTCTTTCAAGACTAGGCAATATCCAGTCAGAGATGCACTCGGGAGAACCTAGCATCTCGCCGGTGAATGAGGCTGTTCTGACTGATCTCTGAATCCCAGTAAGTCCTTGGACGAGAGCACAGGTGGTACAGTTTCTTGTGGACATCTGCAGATGTATGCCAGACATGTATTCACAGAAGTCTGATTCTGTGCTAAGGTCAGCAATGCAGTAATTTGGCAAAATAAGGTAGAAGAACATTTTTGTAGTAAATGTAGGACATCTGACAAAGTACTGCAGTTGAGAAGTGATGAAATAATAAAAAGCCGTCTGGACTTAAAGAGGAAACCTGATGTATGTATGCTGTGTGTGTTCATATGCATATCTACTTTTAGGATCTTACCAATGAAAATACCTGTGAGGGGAATCCTGAAAGCACGGGTAAATCTGCTCTGTCATACCTTGGTGTTGGACTCGTGGTCTCTGTGCTAACCTTCATGCTGTGCTTCCTTACATGCACTGATTTCTAGGTGTGTTGCTTAACTCCCACACTGGCACGGCACAGCTCTCTCCTGTCTGTTGTAGTTTTCATCATCCATTCATCACCACAGCATTGGGGAAGAGTAAAAGCACCAGGGGATTTGCTTTTGGCTGCTTGCAGAGATGGGATGAGTGAGGTGCAGCGTTCTGCGGCAACATCCAATGAGCAAGGAAAGGCAGGGTAGGCTTTGTGGAATCAAACGCTGCCTACTCCAGCTGCTTAAAGAGAGGAAGCAGCCTCACTGTGAGATGCATTCTCCATAGTGAGAGCTGAGCCAGGAGCAACAGCAGAGCTGGGGCAGAGGTTGGTGGTTTGGGAGACCAACCAACCAGCTTGTCAGTTGGTACAGATTGGCATTTTCCTGCTGGCTTCTGTGAGACCACACTGACTTCCATCAGCTGGGAATCTAACCCATAATGGCCACCACAGGAAACCTGATCATTATAGTCTTTATAGTCTTAATCTTTGCTGTTGGAATCAATGCTTTGGAGATACTTCATACAGAGAAACCACGGGGTAACTGTTAACGACCCTTCACTGAACTAATGTGATTGTTCTGTTTATTTTGCTGCATCGTCTTATTGGAAAGGATTTCTCTCTTAAAGAAATTGTGTGCCAATAATGGCCATGTCACTTCTTTAATTTGTGATTTTAGCAGGGATGAGCTTGGTTGTGGATGCACTTCAGAAATGAGTCATGAATCTACAATGTAATAGATGTCTTTCCACAAAAGATGTGTATGCAGAAAAGAGTGTTCTTGTCTTACATCCTAACCAGCAATGTCTCTGTGTTTATTTTATTTATTCAGCCAAATCTGCAATGTGCCGTGCATTTTTCCTTCTATCTGTTGCTTGGATACTGCATGAAAGCACTCCCTGAAGTATAAATAATGTCTAACAGAGCATACTGCAAAGCAAAATGCAGTACAGGATTAAAAGATGTTTACTAATTTCTGTTAACCTTGGAGTTCTTCTAATGGAGAAAGATTAGTGATGAAATCATCCCCTCGGATCAGAGCTTTGATTCATATCTTGAAGTAATATCCTGGAGAGATATAAACCCAGATTGCCTTGATGGGAAGAGGCAGAATGAATAGGAACAGAGGCAGAGACTGGACTAGCACAGAGGATGAAAATTTGCTTCTGAGTGGCACTTTTTCAGCTTGTAGCATTCTTCCTATTAGCTTTGATCTCTTTCAGTGTGCAGTGCCAACACTTTTTTTCCCCCCAATCACTTTGTATCTGTATGTTGCACAATGTGGATTTTTTTTAAATTTTGTTTTACTTTCTTTAAATGTTATTAAGCCTTTGGGGTGGATGTATGTTGTACACAGCAGCTCTTGTACATGTGGGAGAATGAAACGTGGCTTGTGGAATAATAACGTTCTGTCAGACAATTAGTATTTAGTCAGTTGATCATGAAACTTTTTTTCTTTGCAATGACAGGCAGTCGCCAGATGATGAAATGTGGGTGAGATTTGCTCTTGAAAGAAGTGTTTCATTTGTGTTGACTCTAGAAACAAAGCTTTCAGCTCGTAGTTCTGCATCTGGGATTAAAAACAAACAACACCAACAAGAACACAACTTCCAAACTTCTTTTTCTAACATCTTTCCGTTTTCTCCCCAGTTTATTTTGAAAGAACTATAGGAACAGCTCATGCCTGTACCTATGCTGTTCTGGAGCTTTGTTGCTTAGGTATAAGAGGAGCTCAGGTTCTTTATGGAGCTCAGTTAGGTTCAGAGGTTTCTAGTTTAGAGGCTCGAGTTTCTCCGGTTACGGAACAGGCAGAGCAGAAAGGTGCCTTCTTATTTCTTTCCCCTGAACTTATCACCTACGAAGTGGCTGGTCACTGTTAGGATATATTTACAAGCATTAATACAGCCTCCCTGCTTTCCCTACTATATATGGGAAGCAGGGGAAATGGTAGAAATAAATCATCTGGCTTATGGAGATTTATAAAGATCAGTGTGTCCTGCTTATTGTTTTCACCCTGTTTTCATTTGGCTCAGTAGCTACAGAAGATTGAATTTGCATGCCTGAGTGATTATGGTGCAGCAACAGTGCATCTCCTCCTCTGTTTGTGGTCTAATTCTGGGGGGGAAAAAAAAGAAAACAGGACAAGTGGAAGAAAAGATCAAGGAGCGGTGAAACACTTTCTTCTCCCTACATATAAACGTGGGTGCAATTCAGTCAGAGAAGGAGAGGGGTTGAGGATTGAGGAGAGGCAATAGAAACATCACCTTTTAAAATAGCATGCTGAAACTTCTTCTCTGGAATCAAATCGAGAAGTGGTTTCACACCAAAATTTCAGAGAAAATGAGTATCTTAACTGCATGATTGTGTGCCATGCTTGATTTTAATAGACTTTTTAGAAGAGTTATTCGTCTAAGTCAGGTAGCAAACTGAGTTCATTCTGTGGGCCAAGGAAAACCTGTAAGTGTCATTTTTGGGGTACTTCAGGGGTTCTTCCCTGCTTTGATATGGGAAGCAGTACAACTCAGAAAAAGCCATTTAGTCTGGAATACACACCAAGAGAAGCCACGGTCTTTTCCAGACACGAAATACTAGAATAGCTCTTCTCTGCAGGCTTTTCTGGCAAGTGTTCCACTGCTGCGCTTAGCAAGGACACGCTCTTGCAAAAGTCATGTCAACTTTCCTGTTCATCTGGGAGTTGTGAAAACTGTTCACGCTGAAACACGAAACCAGGTGGAACTGACCCAGTTTCAGTAGTAGGTTGACATTATGGGCAGATCTGTCAGTTTTCCCGAAGGGTTTGAGCCGCCTTTGTCACCGCATGCAGGTTCATCCTGAGCCCAGGTCTGTGCCAGGGGCCAGAGCTGAGCTGCTGCAGGCCTACCGGGCCTGGCCGGAGGGAAGTGTGTGCAGGTCCTTTAGTGACAGCAGTCTCTGCGGTCTCCTGCTTTTCAGTCTGCCCCTTTCCCTTCCACTGCGATGCCCTTGGCTCTCCCAGACGTATCAGGAAGGCACTTTGAGGAAGATTCTGTTTGCCACTGACCTAAAACTCCCTTTAAACAGAAGAATTAAATTGCAGTTCTGACATGGAAGCATTACGGACGAGAAGCTCTGTTTAGTTTGTGTTCAGTTGACCTTCTGAGATAGTTGCCAAGTGTCCCAGGGAATGACAAGTTGGTAAGAGGAGCAGACCTGCTCTGCCTGTACCTGCAGTGGTACAAAATGAAGTTGGCACAGCGACTCGTGCTCTGTGTGTGGGCTGCTCCTCTGCGTTCCAGCAGCTTGTGTGTGAACTGCAGGGAAGGCAGCTAACTCCTCAGGATTTTTCTTATGCAAATTGTCAAATGTGATAAAAATAAGTATTTCCAGAACAATCCACAGCGAAAAAAAAATAATATCTTTTTTTACTGGACCTATTGCATATGTAAGGAGAGATTCTCCTTTTACTGTGCAGACTGAGGTATTGGCAAGAGGAGTGAAGAAAGGCAAATGTGATGGGAGTTTTCAGTTCTTAACTGTGGCCTTAGAGGTGCTGTGTAAGAACTTCAGCCCCTCTCAAGAGAGAATCAAATGTTATATAGATTTTGTGGCATTTTAGATTAATAAATCATCCTTTTTATCTTGCAATATTTTTTCTAGTTAGTCGTCACACAGAGAATTTAGAAGAGCAAATAAGAGTAAGAAGGAAAGACGAGGGTGATGATTAACCAGATTTGTAATTATTGTAAGCTCTGGTGTGCACTCTGCTTTCCATTAGAAAGATAATTGTCTTTCGTGAAGTTGTAAAATCACATCTTTGTTTCAGAACACAACAGTGTAAAGCTTGCATTTGTTTTATAGTACCCAGGGAACATTTTGTGAATTACCTTCTTGGTTTTTCACATCTGCAATAAATGAATGTATTTTGTGGGTGGGCCTGTTTGGATATTGTGTCCACCGCAAACATTGCCTTCACTGTCAACCCTGTAAAGCCAGCCAGTACTGGCTGACTTTATTGGTGGAAAACAGCACGGAGTGATGGCTGGATGAGGTTATCAGGCAATTTCTAGCGACGTGCTGCCAACCCAGCAGTTATTTTCTGCAGAAGAGTTATGAACTGGATCCTTAGCCTCGAAATTAGAATTTTTTGTCTGTACTTCTTTTGAGAATATGTTAAAGGTTTGGGTTTTCTTTTGGCTGAGAAAAGTGGTGGTTTGGTTAAACCTTAGAAACATTGATAGAGATTTGAGTGGCAATTTTGCCAGATTTAATGTCAGTTATTTTCCATAGAATTGCTTTGTGATAAAAGCAACAATTCAGCAGCAGTTCTGTATAAAAACGGATCCTGGGTCAGATCCTTTTTGTTCTGGGGAAAGCACCTGCCTCCAGATGTTGCTTCTACATTCCTGTTACTGTAATCAACCTCTTGTTCTCCTTGAGGCTTTGCAAAGCTCTAATCACATCAACTAAGTCACACTTTGCATTACTGCATGTATTTATGGCTAAGTGGATAATCACTTGTGCTTTTATTTAATAACTCCTAACGAGTGCACAAGTTATGCAGGCCATCATTACCAGTCGTGCACCATGGGAGAGGTACAATTCAAGGAATACAAGCAGAAACTTGTATTTCAGAGCTGTAAGAGGAAAGTGGGAGCAGAATTTAAGAAAAGAAATCCCTGCTTGATTACTAGAAGTTAACACATGATTTCCCCCTTAGTTTTCTCCAACACTGCAATCAGTGATGAATTGCACCGTGGACAATTTCAAGCTGGGTTGATTTGATAAGCAGTGGCCTGAGTGTGACTTAAGTTATCCTATTTATGGCCTTTAAAGTATTAATTCCACTCCATAACAAATAATCTAATTAGCATTGTCAAGGGCTTAGTCAAAGAGAAGAAAGAGAATGAGTGAAAACTAGGTATACAAAAGGGCCTTGTGCATGTGAGAACCTTGTAATTGATTCAGTGCTTTGCTACAAACAGCAGTAAACTGGTCGCAGGGTCACTAATTTGGAATCAACAGCAAATGACTGTATGAGGTCTGATGTTACCCAAATAAAAATGGGCCCGTTTTTAAGAAATTGCTACATACAGTTGTGTAGAGTTTCACAAATACAGGCAGGTCCCCATTTCGCTTTGCTCTTGTACTGAATTAATACCAACCTGTTAAGTGGAGCCTTCAAAATGTCCACAGGAGGCCCAGCAGAGTGTAAGTAACGCTCTGGCAGATGAGTCGGCAGCACCCGGTGATTGGGGCCATCCCAAGGAGCTGATATCATCATTACTGAAGTCTGTCACATCTGTTGCTTGGGGACCTGTTGTTCAGCCCACATGCCAACCTGGATGGTAGATAAAATGAGGTCAGAATTTCACAGTGACTGATGCTGAGTTTTCCATGGCATCCTAGCATCCCTGTGTCAGATCTTGAAGAAACTATACTCAGTTCCAGCACAAATTCTTCCTTTTCCTTTAGCTTTTCCTTTGTTTGTGGTATAGCTTACACTGCTTATCCTTGCTTCATTTCCTTCACTTTTTCATGTAGCACTGTGTGCAGGCCAGAACTGGGGGAAGGAACAAAAATGCTCAAAATCCAACTTTTGTTCAGTATTTCTTGGGAATTGTAGGCTTACCACATCGAGCTGTCCCACAGGGGATGATCTGAGGAGTGAATTCATGCATGTGTTGTTAATGTTTTACGGCAGGGTGGGGAATGTCACTCTGTGTTTTATATGGGTCAAAGCCAGATGACTATTTTTGCTTTTTAATGTTTCATTTTTTGTAACATTTTATTTTTCAATATTTCTGATAATGGCCATGTGCTTTGTTGTGTCCCCTGCCAAAGGCGCTGGGGAAGCTTTCAGCTGGGGAAGAGCTTCTGGCTCCTGATTTATGGCCTTAATGATGTTAAAAACACTCCAGCTCTCCTGTCACTCTCTTGGACCTTATGGCTGATTCACATAGCAACACCTGTTTGCTCAAGGTGGGACAGCAGTCAGCCGATACGCCTGCAGGTAGGACCTGGCTGCCTGCCTGCTCTCGAAGGGAAGGGTTTCCTTTAATTATGACATAGGTCAGACATTGCAGGCAAAACTGCCATTGGTAGAAAGCTGCAGGAAAAAATTTGCAGCCGAAATGAGCCTGTCCTCATGCCCTTGGAGCTGTGGAGGAGTCTGCAGTTGTCTATGACCAGCTCTGTTTCCCCTTGTCCCCCTCCCCCCTCCTGGAAGTCAGGTGGCTGGCAGCTCTCTGCACAGCTCTGCGCTGGGGACAGCTGGCTGCACAGGGATTAGCAGGGGAAGGTTTAGCAGGAACACGGGGCTCACCGTGCCAGCACCAGCACATTGTTGTCCCTGCAGCAGCATCCTGCCTGCAGCAGCAGCGAGTACAGGTGCTTCCTCAAATCTCCTTGTGCTTATTTGGGGGCACAAGCCTGCAGCACCTCGTTCCATTGTATGGCAGTGTTCCATCTGTAGACGGTCACTTTCTTCTCTGGGCAGCTGAATGGGCTTTGGGTAGTACTGAAAAGGTTGGAGGCCAGCTTTCAAAAAGACCAAAATGCTTTAGGCTCTACTTGAGGCCTACTGTAGCACCAAAAGTCTCATCTAAACACAGCTATACTGTTATAGAGGGGTTCACTGAAAGATGCTGGCAGAAGCCCTTCTCCATCAATACAGTAAGGAGCTCTGGGATGGGAGTTAGGTTTTTGTTTTAAGCAAACCAGTGTAGTTAAAGGCTGTAAATATTTTAAGTGTATTTATGGCTTTGGGAGCGATGTGCCAGGCACTTTCAGCAGACTGTGGATTTATTATTTTTTTGGAAACCCCAGATTCAGCTGGGAAGTGCTGCCTTCGTCCCTTCTCCCTGAATTCACGCCGCTCACAGCCGGACCTCTCTCTTCTTGTTCCCACTCTCCCTCCTTGTTCCCTGTCCGTCGGTGCCACCCACTCGCCTTTCCAGCTCGCACCTCTCTGGAGCCAGGGCTGCAATCAGCCCGTGGGTGCTTTGCCCACAGAAATTGTCCTCAGAAATTACTATCTGACTAAAAACTTGTGAAACTGCAGCATCAAAACAAAGGCAACATTTTGAAACATTTAAGGAGGAGATGGAGTGGGAGGAGAAGAGAACATTGATTCAGTTGGGAAGGAATTTGGAAATGCAAGAAATGAAAAAAGAAAACGTTCGCGTGAATGTTTTAGCAGTTCTAAAAACAAATGGGCAAACGATGCAGATTTAGAATATAAATGCAGAACTGACCTTTTCATTTCACTCTTGTGTGTGAGTGAGGGAAGGAGCTCACGGCCCCAAGGGAAAGCTGACCCATCCTAAAGCCAACTCCAGGAGCTGCACTCCAGCAGGCAGAGCGAGCACCTGCACTCACGTGCACGGGACGTGTCAACATCTTCCACGTTGGCAGCGACATGAAATTGAGCGAAAGGAACTGGCTGCTTACAGAACCCCTTCACAAAGGTTTCGTTTGTACCCAGCATGCTGGGGAGCACGTTTTTCTGAGTCCTCTCCTCGCCCGCTGCTAAATACTGAATGAGTGCTTCTGTGCGCGTGTTGCTTTTTCAAGCGAACGGTATTGAAAATAAATGAAGAGAAGTGCCCTCCTTTTCAAGCGATAGTAATCTGAGACTTTTCCGTTACATGAGGCTCTCCACAGAAGCGTGTAATTCCACCAGCTTTGTTTAGGAAGACTTGTGCGGTGCAGCGGGGCGCGGGCAGCCATCCCGCACGCGGCCCTCGGCTTGGGTGCTGCCGCCGCGCCGGGCGCTTCCAGCGGAAGGAGCCTCCCCGGCGTCCCACCGCCAGCCCCGCTCTTCCCCAGCTCCACCGCCCCTTCGCCCTTGGTACAGCCTACGTTTCCTCCACCGTGTGTCGTATGGTAATCGAGTGACATCAGCCTCCGCCCGGGCGGCTGCTGATTATATTACAAACCAGCCGTAAGGTCTGAGGTGTGCGCGGCTCCTGGGAGCGCTGCTGGGACGGCTGCGCATGGCTCCGGGCTGAAACGCAAGTTCGCTTTTCTTTAGGTTAGTTTCACTGGAGCTGGGCGTTTGAAACCGAATTGAAGCGCTGTAGTGGAGCAGAGAAAAAAAAAAACAGAGCAACCACCACCAAAAAAACTCTTCCTGGTGCTTTAAGTTTGAATCTGTTACAGAAAACGTGCCGCCAACCCACACCGCTGGATTTTGAACCGGAGCTGCTATTTGCTCGGGGCTCAGTGAGAGCGTTTTCTCAGGGACCGAAGCCAAACTTCAGAGGAAGCTGGGATTTACCTGGATGTGGGGTAGAGAAACCCGTGGTTTCTTTATGCTGCAGTTCATCGTATCCCTGTGTTACCTGTAAATGGAATTACAGAAATCAACCAGTATGCCTGGGCCGTTGTCCCCAGGATACGCAGCTCAGGTGCCCTATAACTATAATCAGTTAGAAGGAAGATTCAAGCAGTTACAAGGTAAGCCCGTGCTGTTTTGTGTGTTTGTTGTTGCTTTTTTCTTGCTTTTGTAAGTGTTGCTACGATATGATCCCAGTAATATGTTAGCCTGGGCTTGTTCTCCTTGCAGGGAGGCAGGAACGATACAGAGTCCAAAAACAGTGCTACAGCACAAAGCTGTGTGTGCTTTTAAGAGCCACTGTGTGACTTTTATCCTTCTGAAGGTGTCCTCGGTCTCACACAGCGGTGCAGTGCAGTCCAACTGTGAGCACTCAGCATTACAGATGAGAAGCAGCCCCGACCAAGTCAGTCGGAACAATGAGAGGGAGAGTGAGGAAGTGGTCTTTCTGTTTGTTTTCGCCTTAAATGAGAGATAGTCCTAACTGTGGATATTAGTCGTGAAATCTAGGCTTTGTTTGGGTGCAGTGCAGCAGCTCTAACTGCCTGTGTACCTCCTGTAAAGAAGAAAAGGTAGCTTGACTTTTTCAAACCAAGGGTAGTTGCATCATTTCCAAACAAAATGCCTTGCTCATGTTGATAGTAGATTACTCTGAAAGCTTTTGCATACTTTAATGTTCCCAGCTTCCTTCATTTTTTACCACTTTACTTTTAGACAGAGGCAGTGTTCTGCAGTGTCTTCCCATTAAATTCTCTATTTATGTGAGAAGAGAAATCAGCTATTGCCTTTGGGAAATGGATGTGCTTGATAGAGGCTAGGCCTCTGATCTGGGCTGGAAACCCAGATTGCTCGTGCTGCAGTGGAGCAGGATTGTGCCCAGTGCATCTCTGCTTTGGGCACAGGAATATCAACACCACTGTTTCTGTGCAAGGCAGTTCTCAGGAATGAATGAGCTCTGGCAGTGCAGTTCAGAATCAATCAGAATTCTTAACCAAAACCAAACATCCTCCTCCTCCGTAGCCATGTGACTGTAAATAATCCCGGAGCAGCCCAAGCACAGTGAAGTTCATCCCTTCTGAGCATGTTTCTTATTTCACGCTGATCTGTACCACAAGTGTGGTCCTGTGGCTCCTGTTGGAGAAGGAGGAAGAGCCTTGGTTAGCTTGAAGAATGTTCCCAGTTGTTGGCTTAAGGAGGGAGGCAAGAAAATCTTTCATTCATAGTACTTTGTTTATCTTGTAAACTGGCTCACAGTAATGGCTGCGTTCTGGATGCAATAAGATAAAATGACAGCATTTTAAGAGCTGATAACTGAGACATTCCTCAGGCAAGCATGGAAAGTCCAGGCTCCAAACTTACGCATGAGGGAATACATACATTAGAGGTTTTATCTTGGATATCTGTCAGATCTTAGGCTGCGGTACTGCTTAAAAATGAGCGAGGTAAGCTTGCAGCACGGGGGGAGAACTAGTGGCTCCCACCTCTTTCTGTGCTGGTGAAGGTAGCAGCCAGAAGAAGGCAGATTTTATCATTTTCAGGTCACTGCTTCAGGAATCCATTATCTGCATGTTTACATGACGTTGAAAGAAGAAAGCAAACCGCAGTGTTGAAAGCACAGAAAGTGAGTTTACCCTGCAGTGGAATGCAGTGTTGACTTTGGGGGGGAAGACTGCAATACTCCTCTTAAATTTACGGCAGTTTCCTGTAATGAAGAAGATAACACACTGTGTTCTGAAAGCATAAGGAGGGACTTTGCATTAGACCATCCCTAGCTGTTTATTCACGTTGCAGAGGGTAGACAGGCTTGAAAACGAGTGCTGACGATGATCTCCTACAGGGTGGAGCTTAAGTACAGGAAATGTTTTAAATTATGCACTAGATACTCCATGAAATGCTAAATAACCGTGCAAAATATTTCGTGCTGCAAAGGGAGTGGCCCGACTGCTGACAAAGGTGTCTTTCCTTGGATTAATAGCTCTCTCTTTGAGGAATAGCTGAAAGCCATTATTTGGGAGTTGTAGACCCTTCGAGTGACTTTTGTGTACTTGCTGGAAGCTCCAGTGAGACTGCAGGGCACTTGTGGCACTGCAGACTGCTCGGTGCCAGACCCAGCAAGGGTGAGCTGAATACGTGTATAGTACTCTTGAACTGCAGTTTTATCATCGACTGGAAGGCGTACAAGCAAATAAGATCAAGTCACTCTGATTCCTGAGGTAGAGGGTTGGGTGGGTTTGGCACGGAGTTTTGCTTCGAAGGAAAAAGAAGCTGGGAGACAACGAGTTCTGCCCCCAAATGCTGAACGAATCCTGGTAAGCAAGTTAGCCTGGCAGGACAAAGGAAATTCAGATGCAAATTCAAATGACCACTTAGGCACTCTTACATTCCACCTCTGTTAAGTGCCTTGAAGTGGTGATTTTTATGGAAACTTAAGAAACTTGGCTGCGGTGACAGAGCCTTCTGAGCAGATTTTCCAGCCTGCACCTGGAGTTGCTTTGCAGAGATCCCTACTCCCATACGCTCTGGGGAGGGCAGAGAGGAAAGATGCAGCAGAAGATGCCGATACAAATGGATCTGAGGATCGAGGCTGCTTTGTGTTTAAAAAAACCCCTGAAGTCTTATGTGGAGATGATGCAAATAGTGGAGGTGCCTATTAAAGTGGCTGTGACTGGAGGAGGAAAACTAGATCATCTCCAGGACTTCTGAGCATACTTAGTCCTTGTGAAAATGTCAGTGCAGGTGTGAGAGGAAAAATGCTTCAGCAAGTCCTGTTGTCTTCAGTAAGCTTTGTCAGTTCTGATTATAGTTAGTTCACCCTGTCCTGGAATGATAGGTGAGAGATGGTATCAGTGGTTGCAATCGTTTAAACCTAGGCGTGGAGTTTTGGTTCTCACAGGCAGTTGTTCAGTAAAAAGAGATCTGGAGTAGGGCTGCCATAGCTCTGCAAGTAAAGACAGGACCCCAAAGCTTGTTTGTGGAAAACGTATTGCCATGTTGCTTATGCAGGACATGGCAGTGTAGAAATTCATCCTGTTCAGCTGAGCAATTACATGACAGGCGTAACAGATAAGTTATAACTGTAAACCAAGACATCACCTGTGGTGCATTAACACTGCAGGATCCTGTGGCTTGGCGGGGATGTGGAGTTGGCAGGAAGAGGTTAATGCAAGTCAGGAATTTGGAAGTAGATCCCCGCAGCTGCATCACCTTCCCCAGCAAGGGCAGAGAGTGCTGGTGCTACAGGAGAGCAGCTCTCATCGCTGCACACGGACTCCTTCTCACCTAGCTAACGGGGCAGCGTGGTGTTCATCAACACTGCTGGCACTCAGCAGTGCCTTTACCAGCTCCTGTGGTGTAACTGGGAAGTTGGGTCACAGCTCTAGGAGTGTGCCAGAGGTGCAAGATTTCCTGTGGTAATTACAGATTGAAATCCTGGGGGAGGGACGTGAGCTACATTTGTGCTCCTGGTAAACCTCCAGAGGAAGGCCGGCTCCCAGTGGAGCTCTGTGCTGTGCCGTGCAATATGTTCTGATGTGTCAGGTTTTTTTAATGTTGCATTTCAGATAGGAAATACCATTTCTTGTCTGCAAGAGTCTCGTCCCCGTTTCCCTGCCTATGCCCAGGGGGATCGGGAGCTACCACTGAGATGTGACCGGTGAGCTGAAGGACCAGGCCTCGGCTGGGGCGGTGAAATCTGCTCTGCTCAGGATCCTCCGGAGTTATGTGGGTGCCCTTTGAAAAGACACTTTCAACAGTTGCGTTCTTTGCTGCAAGATTTACGTGTTAGAGGATTTCACAGTCGCTTGCTAGCAGTGACCTGCATAGCTACAGGCAGCAATTGCTGAAGGATGTCCTACTTTGTCTACCAAATTGGTCACTGGCATTTCTTGTCATGGTAATTTTCCCTAAAGGGGAAAAGGAGGAAAGGCTTAATTTCAGATGAAATGTGTCTGGTTTACATGCTTTTTTCTCCCCTCTCAGACCTATTTGAATTGCAAATATGTTCTTGTTCCTGTGGCATATTTTGCTTGATTTTTCTGCTGTCTGCAACCCTTCCAAAATCTTCGTGTCACATCCTAGTTCAGTCTTCTGTTTTCAGAGAACACAGAGGCACAAGCTGAACTGTTGGAAGGGCTGTCAGAAATGCAAAGGATTACATGACCTCGAATGCGTTTCTGTGTCAGCTGGGCCCTTACTCTTTCTGTCATAAAGTAGTTCTGCAGACCTATTTGAATGCTGGACTCAGTTTGGGGGCATTTTAGCTATCTATGACTTAGAAGTTGGCTGAATAGTGGTCAAAGTCTCCTTTGTCTAGAAATGTTTCAAGCAGACACTTGTTTGGAAACGGATATAAAAAGTGTTCTTGCCTACCAATGGAGTGTATAGTTTTGGGATGTAACTTAGAGGAAATGACCGGGTG